CCTCCTCTTCCTCCTCCTCATCCTCCGAGTCCTCGGCCGGTTCTGCCCAGAGGTGACACCATGGCATCAGCAACACATCTCGCATTGGGGACGCGCGGTTTGTGAGCCAGGAACCTCCCTTGGCAGCGCCAACCGGCACAGGCACCCATCTTGGCACGGCCAGGGTGCCATGGCCGTGGGTGCCCGGCCCAGCGGTGGTGGCCAGCGGCACATTGGACATGTCCAGCGCCAGACACAGCATGCAAGGTCACATCGCCATCTCGCGGCTGGAGCCCCGGGGCGCGGGGGGGGGGACAGGGATGAGCCCCATCTTTTTGTCCACCCCATCTTTTTGCTCCCCAGAGATGTCTGGGGGGCTGGTGGCACCAGCCGGCTGCTGACTGCCACATTCCCAGGGAACGTGTGTGTGTGTTCCAATCCCAACCCCTCAGCCAATGCCATGCATGCCGGTCCCCTGCCACATTCCCTTTCCCCCCCATGCATAGCTAGAGTTTGGCCAAAAATCCCCCCCAGGGATGTGCAGAGCCCCTGCAGACACTGGGAGCATTGATGGCACCAGCGGGACACGGTGCACGAGGACATGAGGGACCACAAGCAGGTGCCCACAAAGGGGTGGGTGCCGCTCCCCCACCTTGCTGCTTCTTGGGGCCCTTGGTCACGCAGGAGCGGGGGGCCGGGCTCTCCTTCTTCTTCCGAGGCTCCCTGGTAAATCTGGAGTAGGGGTCCTTGTCGCTCTCCTCCTCCCCCTTCTCCTCCTTCTTCTTCCTCAGCTTCTTCACCCCTGCGTGTTTCAAGAGATGCCCGCAATGGAGAGCATTGCTGGCGCGGGCTGGGGCTGGGGAGGGGACCAGCATGTCCCCCCATTTCCATGGAAGCCGTTTTTTTTGGGCCCCTGCCGCTTCTTCTTCAGCTTCTGCCCCCGCGGACGGTGCTGCGGAGACGGTGCCAGCCTTAAATCCCTTTTCCCTTTGCAAGGCACCCCCTGCTCATACAGCACTGGCTCCCTTTCCGAAATATAGCCAGGCTTTTCCCTGGCCCCATGTGGGAGCAGGCACCCCCTCCAGGGAGATGGGGACACGTCAAACCAGCCATTACCAAAAGGAGCCACTTACCATGGGGCAGCCCCCCAGGGATGGCAGAGGGAGGAAAAGAGAGAGGGCTGTTAGCAGACAGACAGGAGAGCATCAGCGCCAGGACAGACGGCCACGTGCCAGCCCCAGGGACAACAGACAAGATGCTGGGGCTGCCCTGACACCACGGACCGTGCTGGCGCGGAGGACAAGCCATGCCGTGCCGTAGGGACCCCGGCCAGGAGCCACCCCAGGGCACCAGCTCATCTCCCAGTGGGCATCGCAGGGGACCTGAGCTGGGACAGGGGACATGGGGACGGGCAGGCAGCCTGGCTCTGCACTTCCATCTCCTCTCGCCCCTGCAAAAGGCTCCCATTGAAGGCAAGGAGCTGCCGGGCCGGGATGGAGGTCAGGAGGAGAGGGGAAGCAGGGGGATTAGGCACAGCACACCTAATCCTGGTTAGCCGGGGCTATAAATAACCCTGATTTACCAAATACAGAGCATGTGGGGCAGCACTTGGCTCCAGGCAGGAGATATTTGGGAAGTGGGTGTCAGCTCGGCACCCTCAGAAAGTGATTTAAGCAAATCCAGTTGCACTGGGGCACCCACCACCCAAGAAAGCACCTTCCCCCTCGCAGGGGTTCCGTCCCTCCCGGATGCCCCAGCACAGTGGGTGAAGGTGATTTGCAAAAGGGGGGATCCAGCCAGATCCCAGCGGGATCCCAACCCTGTGAATTTGGAGGGGGGGGGAAGCTGAGGGTCCCACGGCGGAGCTGGGAACCTGCTGGTTTCTTCCATGTCATCAGCTCACACCGAAAAGCTCCTTCGCATCCTTTAATCCCTTAAGCAGCTTGGGGGGAGGACAGCCACTTGCTTCGTTACTTAACGAAGCCCTTCGAGGAGGGGCTGCTGATTAAATCGGGTGGTCACTGAAATTGCTGCTGAGACCCCTCCAAGGCCGGGCGGCACCCGAGGGCTGTGCCAAAACACAATGGGGGGGGGCTGGCCTTTGGGGTCACAGCCTGGGGAAAGTGAGTCACGGCTGATGGCTTAACTGAGAGGCTTAGTTAAAGCATTAATTAGGATCTGAGAGCCCACCTCACTGGGTGCTTCAAAGTGATGGAGAGGGGGTTTGGAAGGATGCATGAGAGCAGGGGAGGCTGTGGGATCTCCTCTACCCACCTGCTCTGGAGGGGGGTCCCCAAAAACTCATGCCCCCCCAGGGCTGCAGCACCCCAACAGAGCAGCCCATCCAGCCCCAATTTGGACTCAGTCTGGGATTGGGGTCTCTGATGTCCCCAGCCCTTGGGGACAGCCCACAGCAGGGGATGGTGGCACTGGGGACGGATTTTTTTCTCACCTGCTTGGGCTTGTGCTGCTGGGGGCTGTCTGGCTCCTCGCTGGGGCTGTTGGGCACAGAAAGCAAAAGGGTGAGGGCTTGCAGCCCTCCACAGCCCCCCGGGGGGGTGTGTGTGTGTGTGTGAGACCCTCCAGCCAAGCACCACCCCAGTTTTGGCCTTTTGTTCGGCTCCAGAAGCAGCTCTGCCTGCCTTGACTTGGGTCGAGCTCAGCCGACAGCATCCTTCCTAGCAGGGAGCGCAGGACTGGCTCTGCCATGGCCAAGGGTGACAGCAAGAAGGTTAATTTGGAGACACACACACACCCCCCCACACTCTAATGAACACTTTTCCTCTCTGTAAGCCCATGAGCACCATCGCACCGACCCCCGGAGAAAAAAATAAAAAACCCAACCTGATAAACCAGCTCATTAAATTGCATTTAAACTGAAAATAGGAGAAAAAGGCGCTGGAGGAGATAGGAGTGCGGTGGGGACGCCCCGCACATCGCCCGCCCCGCAGGTCACATCCTGCCCGCCCGCACTCACCTATCGGCAGCCCAGACCTCACCAGGATCTCG